ATGGGGGGGAACGTTGCCCCAGGAGCAGGTGGCAGCAGCGAAGTACTGGGAGTCAGTCGCGCGCCAGCCAGTTAAGCCGACCGTGCTGAGCGAGGTAGTCAGACTTTGCCGGGCCTGGCGCCTGAAAGTGATGAGTTCGGATGGCAAATAGATGGTCGAAATTCACTTTCTCGTGGAGCCCAGCACAATCGGGAACCAGCTCCCGTTGTCGATCTGGTTTTGTCCCAAGGCCGAGGGAGGGCAGAAGTGCGTCGGAACCGCCCCAAGAGGGGTGCTGGTGAGGGAAGTTCTGCGCCTCCCGGACGCGTGCAAGTAGGCAGGTAGCTCTTTAGGATGTTCTGGAAGCTTCGATTGCTCCAGCAGGGAGAGGCTTCAGCAGCTTCTGAGGGGTGGTCTCCTATGCGAGGAACTTATTCGGAGAGTCGCTGGCCAGGAGAATATCAGCGAGCGAAGAACGGTATAACATAAACTTTCCGCCGTCGGGGGCACCTGCCCCAGGGCGGCTGGAAAGTTTATACCCCTACGGTGCCACCGTAAGGGTATAAATTTTCCAGCCGCCCTGGGGCAGGTGTCCCCGACGGCGAAAAAGGTTACGTTATACCGTTCTTCGCCCGTTAAGAGTAGTCGTGAGCCCCGCGTCCTTCGCCCCTCCTGCCTGCCCCCGCCTCCTGGCCTCGGCGACCCTGGGCCTCCTGGCCCCGAGGCCGTCTCGAGCCCGACCCCCCCGCTCCCGTGTGCTTCCCTCTGGCCCCAGAGGTAGGCCCAGCAGTCCAGCCCCCTCCCCCCCCGCCCACACAACCGTCGGGGTAGAGGGATCCACAGTAGGTCAGGAGGGGAACAAACACACAGACACAATTAATCGTCGACCCCCCGGAAAATATGGGAAAATATGGGAAGTGAGGGGGAAGACAGAAACCCTGAAAATATAGGAAAATATGGGATTATTTTTATTTGTGTGTATTTATTTGAGTGTCCTGGGGCCCCTTCGCAACCGTCGGGGTAGAGGGATTCATAATAGGCCGTGGCACTTTTTCAGGCACATGCTTCTGGAGTGAGTGCCAACGGCGGCAGCCACAGGTTGCGCGCCGTCGGGCCTGCCACCACGCCTATCCCCCGTTCCAATGCGGTCGTGGGGTCGCGCGATATTTGTTTTTTGCTCCAGTCTGCCAGCTCGGGGAACCCAGTCGAGCTTGTCATGTGCGCATGTGGGCGAGGGTACGCAGTGCTGTGATGGGAGGATCGGTGCCCAAGGGTCCTATCTTATCTTATCCTATCTTATATCCTCCTCCTCCTGCTCCTCCTCCTCCTTCTCCTCCTCCGCCTCCTCTCCCCTCCCTTATCAGCACTCCTCCGACCGACCGAGCATCTCCGAGAGACGTCGGCCGATTCTTCGCGATCAAAGCGGCGCCGAGACCTCAAACAGGCCCCCGAAGGCTCTCCATGAGCACCAGGGAACCCTTGCGGACGGCCCCGTGGGGTGCGCCGCAGAGGCTGGAGGAATGGAGGCGGCCAGGGAGGGGAACGGACGCTCGCGGTGAAGACAAGGAGTCCCGGAGAGAGGCAGGCAGGCAAGAGCCGCGCCCTGACGGCGCACTTGCAGAACTCGAATATAGCATGCGGAACACATACCCGGGACAAGAACGTACAATAATACGTGCGTGCAGGCGCCGAATCAATGCAATGCATCGGGGAGCGAGCGCTGGACCCTTCGTTCCAGAGACTCGCGAGGGATCGCGAGGGAGAGCTGGAGAAAAGTCGTGCGCTTCCAGGCGCTCCCAGGCGCTCCCAAGCGCTCCCAGGCGCTCCCAAGCGCTCCCAGGCGCTCCCAGGCGCTCCCGGCACGCTCCCAAGCGCTCCACGGCGCCCCGGCACGCTCCCAGGCGCTCTGGGCACGCTCCCACGCGCTCCCAGGCGCTCCCAGGCGCTCCCAAGCATCTTCCTTTAACCTAGGAGGCACCTCTTTGGGCCTCTGGGGTTTTCTTGTCGCCGCGGCTGGATCCCCCTTCGAACTCATGGCCTGTTCGCGCTGGAGGTTCGGCTTGAGAGGGGTCCCGAGAGAAACTGGTCGTGGAGTTTTTTCCCCGTGTTCGGGCCTGCGGGTCCCTCCCAAGCGTCAAGACCATCGGAAAACGACATCGATATCGAATCGGATCGACCCGATTCGATACGGTACCGGTTTTGTCGGCAGCTATCGGTTTTGGTCGGCCGGGAGCCGGCCAGTCGAGACATGTTGACGCCTCGCTTCCACTTCCGCCGACTGAACCGCCAGCCGCCGTCTTTGGGGGGATCCGCCGAAGCGAGATTCGCCGAAGGCGACGGCTTTCTGGAACATCCGAGGCCCGAAAACCATCACGTCACTAATTTTGGGCCCCTGGGCCCACTGAGGCCCCAGGGGCCCCAGACTAGTGAAGTGATGTTTCTTCCGACGCAAGGGCCCCGTAATTCATCACCTCACTAAACCGAACCCAGGACGAAATTCTTTACGCTTCGCGTATCCCCACCAGCCCATCTCACAGCAGCAACTCTCGCGAAGCATGCCGACAGTCGTGTTTTTCAGGCGTGTGTCCGCTTGGCCCCGCAGATCTCCCCTGTTCCTCCTTCCTCCCGCCTCCTTGTACATCCTCCTTGTGGGGGGAGCGGGAGAAGGACGAGGCGGAGGAGGAGGGAGAGAAAGCGCTCCTCGTGATTTGAGTCGTTTGGGGTTTCTCGTCCTGGTGTGAGTCGTTCGGGCCCTTTTTCCTGGTGTGAGTCGTTCGGGCTCTTCGTGGTGTGAGTCGTTCGGGCTCTTCGTCCTGGTGTGCCTCGTTCGGGCTTCTCGTGGTGTGAGTTGTCCCGGGCTCTTCGTGGTGTGAGTCGTTGGGGTCTCTCGTCCTGGTGTGAGTCGTTCGGGCTCCTCGTTGGGCCTCTTGGGGGCCTCTTGGAGCCTCTTGGGGCCTCTTGGGGGCCTCTTGGGGGCCTCTTGGGGGCGTCTTGGGGGCCTCTTGGAGCCTCTTGGGGCCTCTTGGGGGCCTCTTGGGAGCCTCTTGGGGACCTCTTGGGGCCTCTTGGGGGCCTCTTGGGGGCCTCCTGGAGGCCTCTTGGGAGACTCCTGGGGGCCTCTTGGGGCTATCTTGGGGCCTCTTGCGACCTCCTCAGAAGCGCAAGTAAGCGCTGACCCCTGAGAAGGACAAAATGAGTCCAAAACCTTCGTAAAATCAATGATTTTGCTAAGAAGGAAGAGGAACGCGGCCCCCGCAGAAGGCCAAAATGGAGCCAACACCGTAGTAAAATCAATGTTTTTTGCTTCAACGACGAGCTGAGGCGCCAAACTGCCTCCCCCCCATCGGGGCCAGAATCCTCGTGAGGGTCGTCGTGTTTTGGCCCTCCCCGGCGTCGAAAAAGACTCCCCTGACGACGCTCGGGACTCCCTCTCCAGGTCCAGGGGGAGGGGGTAGGGGGAGGGGTAAACCCCTCCCCGAAGGGGAAGAAGGGGGGTTGAGGACAGAGCGGGCTCTCTAAACCACTCACGCCCAAAGGGCTGGTGGGAGTCAGGGGCCCCAAGAGGTCCCCAAGAGGCTCCCCCCCCAAGAGGCCCCAAGAGGCCCCAAGAGGCCCCCAAGACGCCCCCAAGAGGCCCCCAAGAGGCCCCCAAGACGCCCCAAGAGCTCCAAGAGGCCCCCAACAGGCCCAACGAGGAGCCCGAACGACTCACACCAGGACGAGAGACCCCAACGACTCACACCACGAGGAGCCCGAACGACTCACACCACAAGGAAGGGCCCGAACGACTCACACCAGGACGAGGCGCCCGAACGACTCACACCACGAGGAGCCCGAACGACTCACACCACGACGCGGGCCCCGAACGACTCACACCACGAGGAGCCCGAACGACTCACACCAAGAGGAGGAGCCCGAACGACTCACACCAGGACGAAGGGCCCGAACAACTCACACCACGAGAAGCCCGAACGACTCACGCCAGGACGAAGAGCCCGAACGACTCAAACCACGACGAAGAGCCCGAACGACTCACACCAGGAAGAAGGGCCCGAACGACTCACACCAGGACGAGAGGCCCGGAGATATGCGGGGGCAGGCGGAAACACGCTTGAAAAACACGACTGTCAGCATGCTTCGCAAGAGTTGCTGTTTTGAGATGGGCTGGGGGGCATACGCGAAGCGTGAAGAATTGATGCTGTGATGCAACATAGGCCTCGTATGGAACACGCCAGCGCACGAGCAGGAGGGTGCAGCAGGAACGCCGAGCTTAAACCAGCTCGGCTCTTTCGGATCGGCGCCAGACCTGCCTCCCAGGCGTGCGGAGCTTTTTTTTCTGCGGAGAAGGCCTGGCCAGAAGGAGTATCGGGCGAAGAGAGCTATGCACATGCACCGATCCTGGCAAGGCCCATCCTCGACCCAGGTTCGGTGCATATGCTTTCCTGGCCACGGCAGGAGGGCATGTGCACCGATCCTGGGCTCAGGATGGTCCTGGCAAAAAATCGGTGCATGTGCATAGTTCTCTTTCCTCCAGAGTAGCAATGATCTGGGCCTCCAGAGTGGGGCCGAAGCAATTCATCGGCGATGCGGCGTTATCTGGACCGCGTTCTGCTCCATCCCGCTGCTGACTATGCTTCGCCGATGCGGCGCTGTCCTGGCAGGTCTCGTCGTCGTCGTCGTCGTCGGTGGTGCGACGCTGCTGCGGTGTCAGCGCCGGGTCCTCGGTCGGCTCCGACAGCGGCGGCCCCCACCGCGAGGGGTGGGCGACGGCGGCGACGACGACATCTGGCAGGCGTCCAGGCGTGCCGCGCATCTCTCCCTGGCGCGCGCTGCAGCCCTGCACGCGCGTTCCGCGTGGAGCAGTCACGGATGCATCGTCTTCGTCGCCCTCGTCGGCGTCGGCTTCATCGTCAAGATCGTCCGCGTCGCGTCGCGCTGGCAGCGGCGTCCGCGTCGGTGGCGCCGTCGTCGGCGGTGTCGTCGTCGTCGTCGGCGCCTGGAGAGGGGTGGCTGTCGCGCAGGGCATAAACGTCGGCTACGGCTTCCTCAACTTCATCACTCCTCACCACGCGCAGGTCCTGCCGCCGGGGGGGGGACAGGAGGGGGGGGCCCTCCTCCCTCTCCGCCTCGCTTCTCCCTCTCTTTCCCTCCTCCCTGCTCTCCGCTCCTCCCAGAACTCTCGCTCCTCGTCACTCCTGGGTCCTCTTCGAATCCTCGTGTAGGCGAGCGTCGAAAAGACGATGACCAGCATGATGGACGAGCAGAGGTGGACGTGTCCAAATTTGAACCACAGCATGCTGGAATAAACCTACGGATATGAGTCAAACACTGAAGTTGTCACCGAACAGTTGTTCAAACGTCTTGGTCAGCAACCCAAGCCCGAGTCGGACACAGAGTCGTTATGCAGTGTTGTTGCGTGGGAGTCTCTGGCACAAGGTTCACTCACATCATGGAACAGGGAGCAGGCGATCATTGAAACTTGCAGCCGTGTAAAAGCTATTCTTAGACAGCAATGTCATGTCTCAGCCCGACGCAGTTTCAGAAAACGACGTTCTTAAGAGGTGCCTTTATTTATTGGCAGCATGCCCCCAGAAACAAATATGGATCTATCCAGATCAGACTTCGAGGAGCATTACGGCACAATGCGCAGGAGATTTTTAGTGAAAGGTCGTATGCAGCAATCTCCATGGAGGAACGGGCGACCCAATGTCAAACTATGATGCTTTACTACGTGTCTTTCCGGCCGTTTCGGCATCGCCGCGACAATGATTTTGGTCGTTACAGTTGTACGGCAATAAGTGCGTGAGGCACGTACCATTGCCCCGAATTTGACCAGTGTATGGAATCGCATAGTAATTGTCAACGGTTCTCAAAATTCTTTGTTTGGGTGTCAAGTGGAGCCAATCACAGAAACAGGAAGCGAAGGACCCATTGAATCATAATCTCTGGCGCTCTGGCGCCCCCGCCGTCGCTCTAGGAAACACGCGGCCGCGTGCACAGGCACGCGGTCGCGGACATCGGCGTCCGTCCGTCCGCCTTCTCGCTCCTCCTCGCTCCTTCCATCCCTCCTTGTCGTGCTCTTCGTCGTTCTCCTCCTTCGGGGCCTACTCGTCCGCCTCCTGCTCCTCCGAGGCCCTCGCTCCTCTCGCTCCCAGGGCCCCCTCGCTCTTCCACCGGTCCTCCTTGCTCCTCCCTCCCTCCCTCCCTGCAGCGGCACCCTGCCGACCCGCGCCGTGCCTCCGCCGCACGCCAGCGCATGATGCGCGCGTCGACCACATCGATTCTTCTTGGGACTGGTCGCTCCCGTGCCCTTTCTGGGCCCTCATTTCTCGAGAGTGGCCAACGCGTCGCTCCGTCGCAGTGTGCGAGCGCAGAGCAGCTTAGCGTGCAAGTGTTCTGGGCTGACGCCGCCCCAACTGAACTGAACTGAACTGAGCTCTCCGGGGGCAGGCAGAACCCCCACCCTGACACGCCGATCACTTCATTGTCCGTTTTCGGCTCTCGAGAGAGGGCGCCGCGGCCGTCGGCCTCCAGGCCTGCGCCCGCCGGGCGTGGGCCCGAAGCCGTTTTCACTGGACCACGTGCTGCTACAGGGGGCTCTGCCCAGCCCCGAGCTCTGTGTCTCGTGGCGGCGCCCTGGCCGTGCCGAAGGTCAGGTCAGGTCAGGTGAACCGTGCCTAGACGGCACATTGGTTGCAGATCGCATGCATGAGTATGTATCAGGAGGGAAAGAAACACACAGACACAATTAATCCTCGATTCCCCAGAAAATATGGGAAAATATGGGAAGTGGGGGGGAAGACAGAAACCCAGAAAGTATATGAAAATATGGGGAATCTATTTTTATTTGTGTGTATTTATGTGTGTGTCCTGGGGTCCCTTCAATGTACCACAGCACGCCGGCGTCGACAATGCGAGGGGCAAGGCGTCGCCCCAGTCGTGCCGAAGGGCAAGCACCAAGCGAGGGGCCCCCCGTCGTGCACTGCGGGGGCCGGCGGAGCGCCCGGCGCTCTGGCGCCCTGGCGGGCTCCCAGAGGGCCGCCCCCCGCGGGGCGTCTGCGTTGGTGGCTTGTCTTCCACCGCCACCACCATAAGTGGGAGGGGGAGGGGCTCCTCCTCCTCCTCCTCCTCCTCCTCCTCCTCCTCCTCCTCCTCCTCCCTCTCCTCCTCCTCCTCCTCCTCCTCCTCCTCTTCCTCCTCCTCCTCCTTCCCCCCTCCAACTGATGGTGGTGGTGGAAAGCAGGCCAGGCCCATCATGCGTCGTCCGTCCGTCCGTCCGTCCGCCCTCCAAACTTGCATGGGATCGAGAGGGCAGACTGCGTCAGCATCGAGGGAAGAAGCACGGGGACCATGGCGAAGATGTCGTGGGATCGTGTAGATGGCGATCTTGGTCATGTTCGATGTCGGCCGGAGCATGGTCCGTGCATGGACGCCTACCAGGATCGACGGTGACCAAGAACGACACGACGTTTCCGCTTCAGTCTCGGTCATGGTCACCATTGTTACTCACCCCCACAGAAGGCCGATCGGCATTATTCTGAGCCTCCCACGTGGGGTCGAAGCAGATGGAGCCGTGATCAGCACTGGCCGAACGAACGAGCTGAGGGAAAGCTTGTCGACGTGCCCTCGTCTTCTCGACCCCAGTTGTTCTCTGCTGGGCGCGCCCCGCTGACGAGACCTCCGCACGGCCGCATCGGTTGCAATCCCGACTTGTATTGAATCTATGAATATTGAACATGGGGCGCCCGCCACGGGGTCTGATGAGGCGCAAAGGGAGGACACAACGGTCGACTTTCGTTTGGGAAACAGCTTGCCAGCCCGACAGAACCGCACAGAAAATACCACCGACCATCTGGGCGAAAGGGGTCTCTCACGAAACAATAGTTTGGCTCAAGTTGGCCACATGTCCTCAAACATGGTTTGGAGAAGCTCCATGAAAGCTCCACGACGGTTCTGACGAGCCACCAGAGAAGCCCCCAGAGATGCCATAACAGCACCAATGAGCCAACACAGTGTTTTTCTGAGAGGTGAGTTTTTTTGATTTCCGTTGAGTCTTTGGGTTCTCTGGACGGTCCCGCGACGCCCCAGGGTTCCCAAAACGGCTCAGGGGTGACCCTTGTTGGGTGAACCCTTTCTTGGCCGATGATCTTCTGTATGTCCCCACGCTTGCGCCTATGGGGGCCCCACGAGAACATCATGATGGCCTCAGATGCGCCCAGTGGGTCCCTGCTGGGCCCCGAGTTTGCAGTTTTGGGAGAGTGGTTTCGGGCAGGTGGGAGGGTGACATGTCCACACCCGTGGCCTCGCGGCCCAGACTCCGTGGCCACGGCCAAGCAGGTGCAGAAAAGCTGCTTGCGCGCGCGAGGAGCGCACCCATAGGGCTGAACACCCATCCGGTCGCGCCCTGGTGTCGAAACCGAGTGCAGGGTTGTTGACAGTTCTGTCCGTCGCTCGGGGGCGGGGGCGTCGACCTGCTGGACCTGGGCTGCCCCCCTCCCCCTCCCCCTCCTCCTCCTGCTTCTCCTCCTCCTCCTCCTCCTCCTCCTCCTCCTCCTCCTCCTCCTCCTCCTCCTCCTCCCCCGCGGCGCGTCTTCCTCCTCCCCGCCCCCCGTCCTCCTCCTGCTCCCCCTTCCTCATCACACTCCTCAACTGCCCCCCACCACACCGCCGCCGAGACCAGGGTTCTGGCAGGGTGTCCGGAGCCGCCGTGACCAACACATGTTTCTGGCTGGGCGGCAACATGGGTACATCGTTCCAGAGCGTTCTGGAATGCCGTCAGAGCGCTCTTCAACGCTTTGAGAAGGCCGCGGTGCCCGATGCACTCTTCAGAGCCGTCGGCTCCCGGAGATTCCCGATTCACACTTGTCCAAGGTTCTGCCTGCCCTGGCGTCCTCCGAATCTTACCCCAGATTTCGTAATAAAGGGAGGGGGGTCTCATTTCGGGGGGGGTCTCTTCCAGGCTATCTTGGAGGGCCTGGGGGGGTCTGGGGACGATGTTTTGGAGGGTCCTCCCACGGGGGAGGTCTGAAATGGCTTGTCTTGGAGGGTCCACCCCCCCTCCCTTTTATTACGAAATCTGGAGTAATTGTGTCTGTGTGTTTTTTCCCCTCCTGACACACGCACCTCCAGCTCGCGCCCAGGCTGGCCGCGGCAGGCGCACCCTGTTATCTGTCGGGCTTGCGCCGCTGTCGCTTCTGCGACTCCTGCACGATCCCGAGGAGGAGGAGGAGGAGAAGGAGGTCTTGCAGCAGCAGGGGGACGAGCGGTAGGGCCGCCGCAGGGCTGACCCTGGGAGGGTCGGGCGGGTGGCTGTGGCCGGCCTTCGGCCGCGGCCCCGCCCCCCCCCAGGAGTTCCGGAGGGCGTTCGACGGCTCGTTCCTGGACAAGCAGATAAGGTCATCGGCCAGGAGGGGGAGGAGGAGGCTGCGGCAAGGGAAGATGAGGCGAACGAAGACGGGGAAAATGATGATGGTGATGATGATGATATGATGATGCTGATGATGATAGCAGGGTCGATAGTGCGGGCTGATGATGCACAGTATGGTGCCTGGTCTCCTCCCGCATTCCTGGGTAGTCGAAGGCCAGACTGTCAGGCTGGATTGGGCCCCAAGGGCCAATCTGGCCTGGCCATATTGAGGGATTTGGGTTATTCGCCAGACTGGATTCGCGTTAGCTCCCTCGCCAGATTGCCCCCGTTTGCCAGATTGGGCCTGCCAGATTGGCGCCAGATTGGCTTCGACTACCCAGAGGAGGGGGAGGAGGAGGCTGCGGAAAGGGAAGATGAGGCGAACGAAGGTGGGGAAAATGATGACGGTGATGATGTGATGATGCTGATGATGATGATGACGACTACGAGCAGGATGCTGATGATGATGCTGATCATGAGGATGATGCTAATTCTGAGAAAGATAATTATGATATTGATGATGATGATGACGAACGATGATGAGACAACGACGATGATGATGGTGATGGTGATGGTGATGGTGATGATGATGATTCAGATGATGGTTATGTTGTTGGTGATGATGCTGATGACGCTGATGATGCTGATGCTGATGATGAGAATGAACATGAAGAGGATGATGATGACGATGATGATGATGCTGATGATGATGATGACGATGCTGAGGATGATGATGATGTGGATAAGGATGATCATGAGGAGGATGAGGGGGAGGATGATGATGAGGATGATTGTGAGGACTAGGCTGATGATGATGAGGATGAGGATGATGGGGATGCTGATGATGTTGACCATCATCATGATGATGATGACGATACTGCTGATGATGATAATCACGATGGTGGTAATGATAATGATCATGATGGTAGTGGAGATGGTGATGGTGATGTGGATGTGGATGTTGATGATTATTATTATGCTGATGCTGACAATGCTGATGCTGATGTTTATCATGATGATGATCACCATGATGGTGATGGTGGTGATGACGATGGCAATGGTGATGATGATGATGATGATGATGATGACGACGTTGCTGCTGCTGATGATCATGATACTGATGAGTATGATGATGAGTATGATGATGATTATGATGATGATGACGCTGCTGATGTTGATGATGCTGATGATGCTGATGTTGATGGTGATGATGCTGTTGATGATGATGGTGATGATGATGTTGATGGTGGTTCTGATGTTGTTGCTGATGATGGTGATGGTGATGATGATGATGATGATGCTGATGATGGTTATGATGATTAGGATGATGCTGATGCTCATGGTGATGGTGATGGTGATGGTGATGATGATGATGATGATGATGATGGTGATGATGGCAATGATGATGATTTCGAGGAGGGGGAGGAGCAGTATGAGGAAGATGTGGATGTTGATGATGAGGAGGATGGTGATGATGAGGAGGAGGAGGAGGATGAGGAGGAGGAGGAGGATGAGGAGGAGGATGAGGAGGAGGAGGAGGAGGATGGTGGTGATGATGATGATGATGATGATGATGATGATGATGAGGATGATGATGCTGCTGATGATGATAATGTTGATGATGAGGAGGATGAATACGATGTGACGGAGGTGCGGTCGCACCACGAGGCGGAGGCGGAAATGGACGAGGAAGGATGAGGGATGAATGGGGCAGGACAGGGAAGCGGGGGGCAAAGTGTGCAGAAGGACGCGGAGGAAGGGGGGCAGATGGCTACGGGAGACACCCCTCCACCGTGCCAACACGGACTCTTCGGTGGCCATTTGGGCTCAGGGGCCGCCGACTGGCGACGGCGCGGCGCCAGCTGGCCCAGAAGCTCGGGCGGCGCGGCGCAAGCGCCTGCATCCGCTGCGCGGGGCTTCGCGCGACCCATCGGGCCGGGGGCTTCGCCTGCGGGGCATTGCGCGAGGCGGCCGCCGCGGGGCCCGGGGGCACGTCGAGCGCAGCGGTCGTGCTCGGGGGCAGGCGGATTGCAAGCGGCTGAAAGAAGCGAACCGTGCTTGGCGGAAGCCTGGGGGGGGGGGGCGCACTCGGGCCCCCATTCTCCCTTCTGCCTGTCGCGTGGTCCCCCGACCCCCGACGTCATGATTTTTTCATGACGTCGACCCCCTGAGGTCTCGACCCATTCCCCGGGACCGGTTTTTCGTCCTGAGTCGTGTTTTGACGCTCCCGAGGCCCGGTGAGGGCCCCCGGAGGCCGAAAATGATGAAAAACCTCCCGTCGTGAATTTGTCATAACTCGAGGGGGTCTGGGTCGAGACCGCTGGATCGTCGCGCGGCCCCGGTGCGGGGCTTCCGCCCGCGCCAATCGGCGCGCCTCGTGGCGGGCGGGCCCGAACCCCCGTCGACCCGCGGGCGCTCCCTCCTGGCGCGAAGGCGCCCGCCCGCCCGCGCGACCTCCCCCCCGCCGCGGATGTGCGGGGGGGCGCTCGAGGGGGGGGGGCGCGCCCTCGCGGAGAGCCCAGACCCCCTCGAGTTCTGAAAATATCACGACGGGAGGATTTTCCTAATTTTCGGCCTCTGGGGGCCCTCACCGGGCCTCGGGAGCGTGAAAAAACGACTCAGGACGCAAAACCGGTCCCGGGGAATGGGTCGGGACCTCGGGGGGTCGACGTCATGAAAAAATCATGACGTCGGGGGTCTGGGGAGGCGGGGGCGCGCCCTCGCGGGCAGGAGGGGCCCCATGGGAGTCGGGCAGGGCATCGAGTCCTTCGACGGGCGGGCCGAATGCCTGCGCTGCGTCGCGGCGGGCACGGGCTGCAAGGGCGCGCCCCGGGCCTCCGCGGAGCTCGCCCGGGCCGCGCGCCCGCCGGGGCGAGGCGCCGAGCCTGCCTGTCGGGCGGGGCCCGGAGCTCGAGGTCAAGCGCGAGACGTCCGGCACCTGTGGCGTTGGCGGCCCAGAGGCCGCGCTCGCGCTGTCCAAGCGCGTCGGCGATCTGAGGACCGCAGGGCGCAAGGGGCACGTCGACCAGCTGATCGGCCACGTCGATAGCTCTCTCAGCAAAATGAAGGGCGCTTGCGACGATTTCGTCTAGGCGCGCGCCAGCACCGCAGCGCCGAAGGCGCTCGACCGGGACAGGTGCATCGACGCCCCGATGCCGACCGGGCACGTCGAACTGGCCAAGACGAAGGCCGACGAGCTGGCCGGAGGTCAGCTCCCAGACTTCTGCGTCTCTCCCTTGGGAGCAGAAGCCGACTTTCTGCTCGCCCAACACCGCGTCGCCGCGCGAGTCGTCGCGCTGCAGAGGACCGGGGGCAATGTGATCATCCGTCGCGCGATGCAGCTCAACTAGTGACGTTGTTCCGGTCACGCGGGAGATCAAGGAATGCGTCGCGTTTCTATCAATGGAATTCCCGGGGCGACGCAACGCGCGCAGCGACGGGTCCATCAAGCGGGGGGAGGAGACAGGATACGGCATGAGAGAAGCCGTAGACATGCGTCGTGGCCAGCGCTGCCGCTTTGGCGCGCGGGTGAGCCAGTTGCTCGACGCCCCGAGCTGGTCGCGCAAGTCGGCATGGCGATCGCCCTTTGGCTTCGGAGCTGCTCGCAGCCTGCGGAGCAGCAGACGGCTCGCAGGCGCGCCTCCTCGCGCTCCACGAGATGATCCGCGGGCCCGCGTCGTCCGATGCGATCGGGGGGCCGACGGGGGGAGGGGGCTGCGTGGTGCCCGCCTAGCTGGTCGCATGCCTCGCGTCCGTTTGCTCTGCCTTGGCCGTGGATCCTGTTCGACCGCCACCCTCCGAGACCAGCATGGGCGTCCGCTTGTGGTGGCTATCGGACCAGTTCCGCACTAAGCAGATCAACGACTTGCTTCCGTGCGATACTCGAGACACGAGGGACGACCCCACGACGAAGGGGGGCACCGGCCAGGAGCTTACTCTCGACCTCGTGGACGGGATGCTCAGTTACAACCGCGACGCCGCCAGGCTGATCGAGGAGCGGCATAAGAAGACAGTGCCGATTTCTCGTCACAGTAGTCTTACCCACGAGGGCAGCGGCGACCACACTGACCAAGTCATCGGTTCGCCCAGCGTGGGCAATGACGACCTGGGCTCGCACTGACTATGTCAGCACAGCCCACGGCACCAACGATGGGAAGACGTGAAACAACCGTTCGCATCTCGCGATCTACGCTTACGAATGCAACGTAGTGAAACAAGCATGTGAGAGGGTTGTTTCGACGAACCGCGATCGTGGAGCAGAGCATGCACGTGAGACCGTGCGCCATTCATTCTCTGATTCTGGATATATATATATATATGTGTGTGTGTGTGAAAGACGTGGTTAGTAGAGCGTCCTTTCTTAGAAATTTGCTGTTGTGTTCCGTTGGGCGCAACTGGCGCGTTTGAGTACCAGACTCTAAAGGTACCTCTGTCCACTCTGTCTGCTTTCTTTCCGCGGGTTTGTGGTTCAAGCCTAGACAGCCGTGCCCGTGTTATTTCTCGTGTTCACACGTAATTGTTTTTTCCCGCGCAAGGGACACTATTCTCCCTTATTTCCTTTTTCATATTTAGTGTCCTCGTCCTTGCTTTCCTCCTCTTCTGTTTTCTCCTCCTCCCCCTCCCCTCTTCCTCCTCCTCCTCTTCCTCCTCCTCTTCCTCCCCATCCCCCTCCTCCTCCCCCTCTTCCTCCTCCTCCTCCCTCCGTTGTGCTCCTCCTCTCTTCACCGCCTTTCCCCTCTGCAGGTGCCGCGCAAAGCCCGTGCGCGTGCACCCGGCCTCGGTGCAAGGATACGAGGCGACCTTCCGGGGGAATCGGGTGGTTGTCCGAAGGAAGGGGGGGTCCATCGGGTAGTGCGCATCGTCCCTTGAAGCCGTTGGGAGGAGGAAGAGGAGGAGGAAGAGGAGGAGGAGGAGGAGGGAAGGGAGGAGGAAGAGGAGCAGGGAAGAGGAGGAGGAGGAGGGAAGGGAGGATGAGGAGGAAGAGGAGGAGGAGGAGGAGGAGGACCACAGTAAACCCCTAGCCTCGTCAACGATTTTCCAATAACCCGCCCCCCGAACTCCCTCTTCAAAGGCCGCCACCAGGATTCATGTCAGGATTCATGTCCACTGGGGGACGTGCCCCGTTGGAAGATAACCGTGAGAAAATCCTGAAGCGCGCTGGAGCACCACTCCTGGGACTTCAACGCCACGAGTCAATTTGACTGTTGCGTTCGCGCCAAAACACCATTCCAGGGGCTTCGTCACCGCGGGTTGACTGCAACTGTTGCGCCCTGACAGTGCAAATGGGGATCCTTGACACTGCTACAAACTCCTGACGAATGTGCGCAGCGTTAAGGCGAGAACCACATTTCGAACAGGTACCGCCCTGCATCCGTGAAGCCCTTGCATACTTGTCGGACACATGTGCGCGGCGTTCGGGCGACAGCCATTTGTTTGGAACGGAACCGCCCTCCATCCGGAAACTTTTGAGTTTAATGTGCGCGGCGCCAAGGCGAGAACCGCATTTTGAGAACGACCCGTCCTCCATCCGCAAAGCTCTTGCACAGATTGAAGACGAATGCGCGCGGCGCGAAGGCGAGAGCCTCGTTTTGAAAGCGGCCCGCTTTCCAGTCATGAAAGTGCTCCAAATTTGAAGGATAAGGATCGTACGTTGTGCGGAAGTCTGAGGCGAAAACGTCTAGATCACCCTACCGACGCGCTCTAGGGTGCGACAGGGGGGATTTAGTCACAAGGGAAAGGAATGGAGGGAGAAGGAGCAGGGAGGAGTTAAGATGAAGGTACGGCCTTACGAAGAGAACAGACACCCCAAGCAGCAGCTCCATGGTCCCTCCAGAGCCCTCTAAGGCCAGCTTGGGGGCTCTCTCGGGGACGTCCTGGGCTATCCAGGGGCCTTTCTGAGGCTCTTAATGGGCCTTTCGAAGAGTTCAAGTGGAGCGATGTTTGACCGACGAGCGTAGAACGGGACCGATCCATAACAATCATGTTAAAAAACACGTTGTTTGATCACCCCCCCGAGGCCCCGCTGGAAGGCATCTTGGGGGTGTCCTGGAAGCCTCTAGGGTGCCCCTGTGGTCGTCTTGGGGGCTCTTGCGTCCCCCATGAGGCAATACTGGGCCATCTTGGCGGACTTGTTGGCGTGTCTGGGCCGCCGTGGACGACGTCTTGGACATCGTGGGCGCCTCGGAGAGCACCAGAAAACCGCCGGGTTGCCCAGGAACTTCGGGATGGGGCGGGGGTGGTGGTGCACGCGGCACCGCGTGGCAGGGGGGGCTTAGAAAGCTTTTGGAGGCCCTCCCCCGATAGCACTTGTCTTGGCGGCGAGCGAAGGGGGGAAGTGAGAAGGGGAAGGCCTCCACAGAAGGTTCGGAAGTCCCCCGGCCTTCTGAGAAGTGCTCTAAGCCTTCCCCGAAGACGGAACAAACTTCTCAGAAAGCGCGAGGGGTCCTGAGAAGTCCCGCCGCCTTCTGAGAAGGCCCTCTCCTTCTCATTTCCCCCCCCCTCGCTCGCCGCCAATTTGCGCCCGACGTGACACAGGGAGCGGTGTGGCGGTATCTCGTTGCGCCAGGCGAGCGGGTCGCAGCGCATGGCGGTGTGTACCACCGCGCGGGCGGCTCTCTTGCCGGGTTGTGCCGTGTCATCTGGTTCCAGAAGCAGGAGGAAGAGGAGGATGAGGAGGAGGAGGAGGCGGAGGACGAGAAGGAGGAGGAGGAGGGAGGAGGAGGAGGAGGAGGAGGAGGAGGAGGAGGAGGAGGGGTGGCGGCAGTCGGATACTTTCAACGCCATGGGTAATCAGGAGTCAGGAGGATGAGGACCACGACGACGACGACGCAGACACCGCCTCGCCTCTTAGCATTAGCGTTCTGGAAGACGCATCCTCACCCCCTGAAGCCTCCTGACACCACGCTCCTCCTCTCCTCCACCTCCTCCTCTCCTCCTCCTCCTCCTCCCCCCTCCTCCTCCTCCTCCTTCTCCTCCTCCTCCTCCTCCTCCCCCCTCCTCCTCCTCCTCCCCCCTCCTCCTCTCGGGCGAGTGCCTCCTGGACGGCGCCCTGGCACTGCCCTGGGTGCTGGACCTGGTGATGTCCGGGTGCCTGCGGCGAGTCCGCCACCGTGCCAGCGAGGCTTTGCACGTGGCGACATTTCGACCACCACCCAAAAGGCCGTCAAATGTGCCCCCTCGTCCCCCACTTTTTGAGGAGATCTCCTGGCGCTTATCTGGGCCGTCTCGGTCTCCTCTGGGCCATCTTGGAGGTCCTGAGGGGCCCTATTCGGTCGTCCTTGGAGCCCTCTTCGACGTTCCCGCCCATCTCCTCCCCGTCCTCTTCCTCCGCTTCAGGGGGGAGGAGGAGGAGGAGGAGGAGGAGGAGGAGGAGGAGGAGGAGGAGGAGGGAGGAGGAGGAGGAGGAGGAGGAGGAGGAGGAGGGGTGGCGGCAGTCGGATACTTTCAACGCCATGCGTAATCAGGAGTCAGGAGGATGAGGACCACGACGACGACGACGACGCAGACGCCGCGTCCCCTCTTATCATCAGCGCTCTGTAAGGCGCACCCTCACCCCCTGAAGCCTCCTGACACCGCGCTCTCCTCTCCTCCGCCCCCGACGTGCCCGTTCTCCTCCTCCCCCTCTCCTCCTCTCGGGCGTGTGCCTCCGGGACGGCGCCCTGGCACCGTCCCGGGTGCTGGACCCGGTGATGTCCGGGTGCCTGCGGCGAGTCCGCCGCCGTGCCAGCGAGGCTCTGCACGTGGTGACCTTTCGACCACCACCCAAGAGGCCGTCGAATGTGTCCCCTCGTCCCCCACCTTTTGAGGAGATCTCCTGGCGCTTATCTGGGCCGTCTTGGTCTCCTCTGGGCCATCTTGGAGGTCCTGAGGGGCCCTATTCGGTCGTCCTTGGGGCCCTCTTCGACGTTCCCGCCCATCTCCTCCCCGTCCTCTTCCTCCGCTCCAGGGGGGAGGAGGAGGAGGAGGAGGAGGAGGAGGAGGAGGAGGAGGAGGAGGGGGAGGAGGAGGAGGAGGAGGAGGAGGAGGAGGAGGAGGCGGAGGTGGAGGCGGAGGCGGAGGCGGAGGCGGAGGCGGAGGACGACGACGACGACAACGACGACGACGACCACGACGACGACCACGACCACAATGTCGACGATCACGACGACCACGACGACCAAGACCACGACGACGACGACGACGACGACGACGACGACAGAAAGGTGCGCCCGCAGCCGCGATGCAGTGTCGCGAGGCCACCGCGCCCCCCAATGCCTGGGGAACGGCAGGCGAACTACCGGCACTTCGTGCAGACGAAGACCGGCCAGAAGCAGGACGGCACCCTCCGCCGCCGCCGCCTCCGGGGCTAGATGCAAGGGCTCCCACGAGGGCGCGAAATTATTCGCGCTTCGCGCTTCGCGGTCCTCGTTCCTTCTCCCCCTCCTCCTCGTCCTCCTTTTCTCCCTTTGGGGGGGCGGCGCGAGGGCGCGAAGTTATTCGCGCTTCGCGCTTCGCGGAGCGCGAAGCGCGAAGTTGGGAGCCCTAGTAGATGTGTTGGAAGTGCTTCGACGTTTAGCGTGCATACACATAATGTTCGTGCTAGCTCGTAGAGGTGACTTGTCCGAGTTCCACCCTGGATAAGTGACCCAAGAAGATCTTTCGTTGGAGCTCATCTGGTGGGTCACGGACATCCTGGCGTAGTGTTGACGTCTTGTTGTTTCAATTTGGGCATGCATGTACATACAGCATAGCCCATGAAGGTTTTAGCTTGAGGATGGTGGAAGACGAGTTGGACGAGGAAGGAGGGATGACAGTACAGGAGCGGACGCAGCAACAACCAGGGGGGCGTTCTTCTGCTCCAGAACCGTCAACGACGTTCACACCCTTCATTTGCTCATCATTCTTTCTCCCCCCGTCCCTACCTCCCTCCATATCTCTCTGCCTGCTGACCCTGTCGAAGGCCAGTCTGCTCCTTCAGCCCTTCAGTCCCCCTCTAAACGCCACCCTGCTCCTACAGTGGAGACCCATGCCAAGAAACACCCTGCTTGCCTCCAGGGTGCCCTGAGTTTCTTGGGTTTCGATGGTTTTGCAGAAATCAGTGGACGTCCTGGGGTCTCAGGGTTGGGTTTCTTGTGGAAGGTTTCTTGTGGACTGGCCTCCACTGTACTCTTCCTCCCCTCTCCCATCTCTCCCACCTCATCCTGTTTCCGGGGGATCACGGCTGCCCGGTTCTGGTTCGTGAAGAGATGACAGTCTCCAGTTCTATTTTGGGTTTTGCGCTAGTCTGTGGTGTCACGGCTTCTTCAGCGCTGGCTCGTAGAAATGACATCTTTGAGTTGCACCCAAGATAAGTATCCCAATGGTGGGGTTCGGTTGCCTTAGCGCTGGTTCGTAGAGATGATGCTTTCGTGCCCCAGTTGAAGATGCAGCTTACGAAGGCGTCACGCGTGAGCTAACATGTGGGGCCACGGTTGCCCCAGCGCTCAGCTTGCACCGGCCTGCCTACGCAGCACACCCGGCCGATCTTTTCTCACCTCGTTCTCACATGCCTAACCTTCTTCGGAGGGCACCAACTATACACCAACACCGATCCTGGCCAGGATCACCCTGGGCCCAGGATCGGTGTATATGCCCTCTTGCGCAAGGCAGGAGGGCGTATACACCGATCCTGGGCCCAGGGTGATCCTGGCCAGGATCGGTGTTGGTGTATAGTTGGTGCCCTCCTACTTCTTACTCCCGACACGAACACGGTGGCGGTGGCCCATCCACCTCAGGGAACCGAAGGGCGGGCCTGCTGCTGGCCAGGAGAGCGGGCCGACTGCCGGCAGACAGGGGGACCTGTGCACGATCTGGCCCACAGGGGCGTGCCCTGCACGTCTTCACCTGGCGATGCAGCTTATGCTCAGGAGGGAAAAAACACACAGACACAATTGATCCTCGATTCCCCAGAAATGTGGGAAAATATGGGAAGTGGGGGGGAAGACAGAGACCCGGAAAATATGGGAAAATATGGGGAATCTTTTTATTTGTGTGTATTTATTTGTGTGTCTTGGGGCCCCTTCACTTATGCAGTGACTTGGGGGCCTCGGGGGCACCGGTTACTCTGAGGGGAGGTCGGGGCACACGCGCCCGCACAGACCCAGGCTGCGGCGCTGCGCAGGCCGAGCTACTCTCTCTGTGCACGGCTGTTCTGCAGGGCGAAGGCCACGCTCGTGGCCAGCCAGCGCTGTTCTCTCTGACCCACTCTTGTACAGTGCCGCTTTTAAATACATGCCCCGCGTGCGGATCATTTATCACAAATGTAGGGATTTAATATCAAATTAAAAAAACAACGAGGAGTTCATGCATGATTTGACTCCTGAATTGATCATGTATCAAAAGCCTATATGTTTAAGCATCCTATGCATTAAAGCTGCCCTGTGCCCAGATGCACGGGCACGTTGTTGCGTGCCTCCCTTGACCAGCGCTCTCGCCACTCCCGTGCCTGCACAGGCCGCGCCCGTTTTCGCGTGCCGCACCTGGCCCGTGCCGCAGCTGCCGCCTCCAAGTACCGACCGGCTCGTCCTCCTCCTCCTCCTCCTCCTCCTCCTCCTCCTCCTCCTCCTCCGGCTCGTCTACAGTCGGGGCCCTGAAGAAGGAGCCCTTTTCGTTGGGGAGGGGCTCCGTGTTCCTTGATTTGTTTCGCAGCTTACCTTGGGTTTTCCTTGGGTGCTCGATGTGGCATCGAAGTTTAACTTATGGAGAATAGGGGCCTCGTTCCTTATGTTGGGTTCCTTAGGTCAAGGCCCTCGCTGTATTAAATTCAGAAAGTTACTCACCGTTTGATTTTTGTTTTGCCCCCCGACCGTGGACGCGCGAGCAATATGCCCACGCGCCCGTTGTGGGGGGCGCATGCTGCATACTCTTGCAGCATCGCGTTGCTTGGCACATCTGCCTGTACACAGCCGCGCTCACTTTCGCTCCTCCCCGTTCTTGTATCTGGCCCTCGTCTCATTTCACCACGGTGACTGCTGCGACCAACTGTTTTCTCGTTGGAGCCCGTTTACTGTGCCATCAGGAGGCACGCACAGAGACAATCTGACAAGGAGGGGCTGTCGTTCGCACTGCGTCATTCTTTGCATGTCCAATGTGCTGTTCCTTGCCGTCCTAGGCGGCGCTGCCACTGCAAACTTGTGGGCTTTTCTTAATTGACTGATTGGGGGGCATTTATTTATTGAGGTCCGTGCTGACCTGGAGGACCTGGCGGACACCTACCCTTTTTACTAGTCTCGTCCGCTCCTTTACCTCGTACTGTTCGGCGGCACCCGCCAGGTACAGCCGATTCGTACACAAACTTGCTTGTTTGTTCGCCCATCAAGAACACCACAGGGTAACCGTAGGTTGGTCGAACGAGAAAAAGGTCTGATCAGAATGAGGAGGAGGAGGAAAAGGCAGAAGTGGAACAACACGAACTGAGGGAGCGGCCAGTGCTCCTGCTCCCGCTTCTGCCCTGCTTCTCCTGTTATATCTCTCTCACTCTCTCTCCCTCTCTCTCTCTCGCTCTCGCTTTCTCTCTCTCTCTCTCTCTCCTCTCCCCTAATTCTGCCCTTTACTCCTGGCCCCTGTCCTCCTCCTGCTGCTGACAGCTTTCGAGAGGCAGGGACGGGCCCAGAGGCTTGAAGTGGAACAACATGAACTGGGGGAGCGGCCAGTGCTCCTGCTCCCGCTTCTGCCCTGCTGTTCCTGTTTGTTGTTGTTTCTTTCTCTGTCTCTCTCTCTCTCTCTCTTTCCCTCTCCCTCTCTCTCGCTCTCGCTCTCGCTCTCTCCCTCTCTCCCCCCCCCCTGATCCTGCCAGTTGCCCCTGGCCCTGGTCCTCCTCCTGCTGGTGAGCTTTCGAGGGGCAGGGGCGGGTCCAGGGGCTTCGGAGTATCGCACGTCCTCTCTCGGACGACCCGCGGGCTCGTGGCCCGTGCCGCCTCGCGCCGCGCAGGACCCCCAGTTCAGTCCACTCTTCTTCCCGAAGGAGGCCGTGCCAGAGGACCTCGGGGTGAGGGGTTGCAGAAGAGGAGAACGAGGAGGAGGAGGAGGAGGAGGAGGAGGAGGAGGAGGGGGAGGAGGAGGAAGCGGAAGAGGAGGAGGAGGGGGAGGAGGAGGAAGCGGAGGAGGAGGCGGAGGAGGAGGAGGAGGAGGAGGAGGAGGAGGAGGAGAGGAGGAGGAGGAGGAGGAGCAAGCTTGGGGAGGAGGAGCGCAGGAGGAGGAGGAGGAGGAGGAGGAGGGAGGGAGGGGAGGGTGCGGGCGGAGGAGGAGGAATAGGGGGAGGAGGAAGGGGGCAGGATGGGTCTGAGGGTGGAGTGAGTAGGGATCCTGAGGGAGGACGGGGAGGATAGTAGTAGGAGGAGTGGCTTCACAGTGGAAGAGGCATTCATGAGGGAGCATGGAGGAGGAGGAGGAGGAGGAGGAGGAGGAGGAGGAGGAGGAGGAGGAGGTGGAGGAGGTGGTGGAGGAGGAGGAGGAAGAGGAGGAGGAGGATCTGAGGAGGTGGAGGAGGAGGAGGAGGAAGCGGAGGATAGGAGGAAGATAGGAGGAGGATACGATGAGGGAGAAGGAAGTGTGAGGTGGGAGGAGGGAGCAAAGAACAGGGAGGGATAGATGGAAGGAGGCGCCGATCAGCAGGGAGGTGGGAGGACAGAGGCAGAATGACGAATCTAGTCGACGTCAGTTCTGGACGAAAGTGTTGAACAATTGCGCCGGAAGTTGAGCTCAACCGAAAGGCAAGCACGGTAATAAACACGTGCCTTGTCGTTTCTTCCGTTGGTTACGGCTGGGACACGCATAGGCCGAGTAGAGAATGTTGATCGGCGTTTGCATGTGATTGCGTACTTGCCATGTTGGGGCTCTGCAACCTCATGTCCGGATCAACGTTGGAATATGTGTTGTTGTACCGTTGCGTATTGTGTCGACAAGTGTCGGCAATTGAAGATCGTACATGGGCCTGCCATCGTTTGCAGTATTGCGTGGATGCGTGACATGCAATGCGGCGCGCGTTCGGCACAGGCTGCTTGCATTCGGTGAGTGCGCTATCCCGCTGGAAAACGACGTGACGGGATCGGGGAAGGATGCAGGACACGGATCGGGGAAGCTGACGGACGGGGAGTTGCATGCCGATAACATGCGAACATGCAGCATGTCACATTGTTTCACATTTCACATCCTCCTCATTTTCCTCCCATGCAGTATTTCACATTGTTTCACGCGCGTGTACCTTAGCAGGCGCCTCGGTGCCCCCTCCGCCGCGCCTTCATGGCGCCACTCGTGCGGAGCCGTAGCCGTAGCCGTAGTCGTAACATGCGAACATGCGTTGTTCTTGTACTCACTCCCGCGAGCACAATGGATGTGCTTGACTTGAACGCACGGGGCTGGGGTTTGGTAAGATTGGAGCACGTCGTGTTTGCTTTTGCTCAGTCAGCTCTGCTCCCCTCCTACTCCCTCGCCTAAGGCCTGAATCTCCGTTCCCTCCCTTCCCCCATCCTTCAGATCACCAGACACACACCAAACCACTCCAACCCAAACCGAAGGCCCCAATGTGCCCTCCAATCCCAGAAGGGGGGGCGTCGGGGAACATGGAAAAACAGAAGTGGAACCCGTACCCTCCCGAGTCGAAATTTGGGATTTTTGGTTGGGTTGGTGTGGTATGGGAGGTAGTCATCAGAGCAACAGCACAATTACGACACCTTGCCGTTGCATGACCACCGCATCCTGTGCGCGCTCGTCGTCTTTCTTGCGCTGTGGCGGACCCGAGGAGGCTGTGAGCAGCATGCCAGCACCCCCGGTTCCGTGGTGCGGCGTGCCCGATCAGCGCCTCCACCCGTGCCGCCTGCTGGAGTGCAGACGGGCAGACGGGCGACGCAGGAGTGGACGAGGTAGGACAAGGGGGGAGGGCACGTACCTGCCAGTCAGCGGAAGCATCGTGGCCAGATGCGGCATCGGAGGAACGGAACGGAACGGAACGGAAGTCTGCGTGCCGGCTCCAGTAACCGGAGCGGTCCCCTAGAGGGCAGACCGCGCGCTGAGCATGTCGGAAAATGAGTGTCGGCAACGAGCACACGCAGGAACATGCGAGTAATAATTCCTCTGGTGTGCAGGTTTTCAGTCAGAGAACCTTCGCAGGAAGGACAGGACAGGACAGGACAGGCGGAGGCGGAAGGACAGGACAGGACAGAAGGGTCGAGGCTGGCGCAGCGTGCGTGGCGTGATGCTGGCGCGCGCGGCCCCGACGGCGGAGCGGAGGTGGTCAGGACGGCTGCGCAGCTCTGCCGGGTGCGCGCATCGCCGGGCGAGTTGCCACAGCAATGCTGCGGGTTCGACTCGACGTAAGAGTGACCTTTCGCTGGAGTGACCTTTGGTGCGGGCACAGATGGGCCCTCAGATGGCTGAAAACGAAGCGGTAGCGGCGGCTTGTGCGGCCCAGGTTTGGTCCCCCGCGGCCCCCAAAAAGCCGCGCACCAAAGGTCACTCTTACCCAGGGTCACTCTTGCGTGTAGCCGACGGGTGCGCGCGGGAGGTGGGCTCCCGGCCGGCGCGAGCAAAGTGGAGGCGGCCCAGGCGGAGAGGGTAAGCTGGAGGCCCCACGAAATCGGTGTGAGCGTAGGCCCCAGGGAAGGGGAAGGGTCTCCCCATCAGGAATTGGCTTCCTCTCTCTGGCGCCGACTTGGTAATGCGAAAACCTTGATCGTACAGTTCAAAGAGGTGTCCAGCGGCATTCCCGAGGGGCCGCCTCCCATCCTATCCGTCTTACTGTTTCGCAAGTGCGCACTTGTGGTCATCAAATTCGAGGAAGCTCAAGCGAGCGTCCCGTGTTGAAAAGGAGCCGCCCTCGGTCTCTATATACGGGGGGTCACATATCCTATTTGGGGCCTCTGGGTAAGGATTACTGGGAAGGAAGAATCTCGCACACTTGGAGTCGGCGGATTATGTTGATGGTGATGGTGGTAGTGGTGGTGGATGAGGATGATGAGCGGGAGGCAGATGCGGAGCTAGTTGCCACCCATGTGTGCACACTCGTTGTCGTGATCCCACGTGGAGAAGGGAGGAAGGAAGGCAAGGACGAGAACGAGGAGGAGGACGAGACGCATCGCGATTCCGCTCTGACCGGCGAAGGCAGTTCCATCCCGCCGTGGCCGCGGAGCGCCTCTGCACTTCTCTTCCCGGTGCTGCTCGCTGTCTCCTCGGCCCGCCTCTTGACGTGCCTATGTCGATCCGATCGATCCTGCTCGATTCGGTTTTGGCCGGCTTGGCCCGATTTTGACGTCGATCGGGGCTCAAGAGACGGGGGTCAATACAAGCGGGGGTCAGCCAAAGCGCCAGATTTTGCAGGATCCTGCAGGGCCAGGGTAGTATTGACCCGGGCTTGGGCGCAGGATCCTGCAGGATTTTGCAGCCTCCCTCGCATTGACCCGGGCTTGGGTGCAGGATCCTGCAGGCTCTTGCAGGATTCTGCAAGGCCTGACTGACCCGGGTCTGGATTGACCCGGGCCAGAAGATCCCCGAGTCGATAGTCTGATCCGATCCTATGCGGACCTTGGCACCGCTCGGACGTGTGCATTTTTTCCTTCGGCGAGGACCATTGGGAAGCAGCCCTGCTTATCTGGCGAAAAAAAACCGCGCACGAAGCCGAACAGAAGCACAGGGAGTGGACGTCCGTCCGGGCGATGGCCGGGGACCGCTGCTCGAGTGGCGTCGTGGTGCATCCCTGGCGCCGCCGGCCTGGCCCGGTCCCGCCCCCGCCCCTCTGCGGCCCCACTCGAGGGGGGGGCCCGTTCCGAGTCGCTCCGGCGGATCACCTCGCGCAGCGCTCGGGCCCGCCCGCTGGTCTTACGTCGGGCCTGCCCCCCTACAGGGGGATTTTTTCCACGACAAATTGCAAATGCCCCCAACAAAACTTCAAGCAGGTCAAACAATATCCAAAAGATAGTCCCCAGACTATTTTTGGATATTTTTTTTTGATTATGTTGGGGGTATTTTTATGTTTTTCGTCGAAAATCCCCCTGTAGGGGGACAGGCCCGACTTAACGCTGGTCGCCAATTCGCAGAAGGGCGGGTGGGATCGTTTCTGGCAGGTGGTGCTCGCGACGAAGGCCGATATCAAGAGGATTCCTGGGACCTCGCATCGCTCCGCACAGGCTCAGGAGAAGAGAGCTGCTAGAGGCTCGGTGGATTCCTGGGTCGAATCCTGCGCCAATCGTAACATCGCGCCACCCTTCCAGTCGTAGATCTGAGGATCGCCTGACGACAAAAGACGACAAAAGACGACTACGACGACGATGACGACCACGACGGCGATGGCGACGACGATGACGATGACGACGACGATGACGGCGACGGCGACGGCGAAGGCGGCGGTGGCGGCGGCTGAACACCGCCGCGGTGCACGCCAGCCGGCGGCCGATGATCTCGCCGCGGAGCGTCTGAGGACCACGACCTCCATCGAACCTTGTGAGGCCTTTGATCAAGCAGTGGCGAAGCGTCCTGGCTCGCCTATCGACCCACCAACAAATGTTCTAAGAACCTTTCGTGGTTTCCACGAAATGGGCTCAGAACATCTCTGGCTGGGACTGTCTTGTTTTATCACATTGGGCTTATGTTCTAAGAACATTGTTGTTTTTTACGGTCTGGCGATAACCCGGGTTATTTGGCTTGCCCCCCCTCCCCCCCGACCCCCAGGATAATCAAGCCTTGCCAGTTGTGCAGTTCCGGGGTGGAGGGGCGCGGACATATACAGGGCTGTCCACAGCCCGAAGGTTAGGTTATCGGCCGGTCCCTTCCCCCCCCACCCTCCCGGATAACCCGGGCTATCGCCGATTCAAAAAACAACGGTCTCTTGAGAGCATGATCACGTCGTGGGGCCTTTGAGGACGTGGTCACGTCGTGGCGCGTTTGAGGGCGCCTCGAAACGCGCCTCAAGGCCATCAAACGCCTCCGAAATCGTGAGGCCATCAGTTGGCGCTTCCATCGAACGGAAGGCTTTTGTCCATTTTCGGCCTCGGGGGGCTCTCGCCGGGCTTCGGGGCCGCCAAAGAACGACTCGGGATGAAGAAGTCCAGTCCCAGGGAAATGGTCGGGACTTCCACGGACCCCGTCTTGAAAAAAATCAGGACGTCGCATGTCCAGGCCGATTCCCCTTCGGTCCCCGCCGACCAGCCCCCATCGATCTCCTCCGTCGCTCCTGCACCGGTGCGTGCAGGATCGGTCTCTCTAAAACGACGCGAAGATCGGGATAACATCGGATCGGGATAACTCGAAATCTCTGACAATCGGCGGGTTTGGAGGATGTATTGGGCGCCGCGGCTGCTCCAGAGCGCTCCGGAACGCTCTGAGAGCGCTCCGGAACGCTCTGGAGCGATTTATCCCGATCCTAGCCCTGTTTTATTCTCGTCGATGCCCCTTCGATCCTCGCTCGAGCCTCGCCCACGGGTGGAGGATGCGCTCCCCCCATCCCAGACCCCCGACGTCGTGGTTTTCTCATGACGTCGACCCCAAAGGTCAGAGGTTGACAGACCTCCTACCCTGACACGTCGATTAGTGAATTGGCCTTTTTCGGTTCGCGAGAGGACGCCGCGGCCGTCACTTTTGCGGGTCCAGGTCCGTCGACTTCGGCCCTAAGTCGTTTTCACTAAGGGGAGGTTTACTAAAGGGAGGTTTGTCCACCGCCGAGCCCAGATGTTGACACCCACACTAATATCGGCGGTGGGCCTCCACCGAGGAAAGAGGATCCCGATCTCGGCGATGGTGGTAAGATTCTGGCTTCCAAGGTGACCGAAATGTCATCACAAACATCAGAGCGTGAATTACCTTCCCCGCTTTCGCTTCCAGGCAAAACCAAGTCATACCAGGCGCCTCCTCGTCAGGCGGCCTGACCAGTACAGACCGCAATTTGGCATCGCTTGGTATCTCTTGGAAGCGAGGGTGGTCAAAAGCGAGGTAGGTTTGTTTTCCCCCTACAACACCGAAGTCTAGGATCATCTTACCCCTGTGGAGGCAGCCCCCTAAGTTGGTGTTGGTGCCCATTTTCAGGCCTCCCATGTCCCCATCCCCATCTCCATCCCCTTCGAGACCCCCACCAAATTGCCACCTCAGTTGGGGATGCACCCCTTCGAGACCCCCACCAAATTACCACCCCGAAGAGAAAGACCTATATCCTCATCCAAGGGGGGTAAATCGGCCAGTGGGGCCCAGGCCACGCCGCTGGGGACGGGGATCGGTTAAACGGTACTCGTACAGTCAAGCCGTAGCATAAGGACGCACGGTAAGGGTGCAAGGGCCTCGGAAGGCCATTTCGAGGCTCTTCGAGCGGGGCGCGGCCAACGAAAGTGGCCAGGGATGGACCGAGGAGGCGAGGATGCGCCCTCGGGAAGCTTGCCCATCCTTGCTATGCGGCTTGACTGTAAGAATCGATGTGTCGACGGTGCGGAAGTGGGTACAGTCAAGCCGCACAGTAAGGATGGGCAGTTCCCCCAGGGGTACCCTTAGGCATGCGCCCCACTCGCAGAGCTTCAGAACGGCCTTCCGAGGCCCTTGCATTCTTATCGTGCGTCCTTCTGAGACGGGTTGACTGCAAGAACCGATGCGTCGACGGTGCGGCCCGGTGTAGAGCCAGAGGTCCTCCACGCCGACGGCGCCGACGCATCGCCGACGCCGCCGATGCGTCGCTGTCGCGTCGCCGATGCGTCGGCGATGCACTGGTGGTGCGGCGCGATGCGCCGAACCCCCATCTGCTCGGACCCCATTCGGGAGGCCTCTGCAGTCGAGACGCCGACAGAAGGACCACTTTGGTCTCCGGAGGGGCTCGGGCCCGAGAGGAACTGCGTGCCTGGGGAGGT